TCACTCAGTATGTGGCAGACTTTCTTAACTTAGTCTCAGAGTGTATCACGATGACCCACTCCATCACCAATACATCATGCACACCTTTACGAGTTGACTGGCCAATCAATAATCAAGTTTTCATGCGTAAATCTTTATAAGGAAAGTTCCAATACTTCACTGAGATGTGTGTGGACTTGGAGCCTCGTTCACTAGTAAATTATTAAATGGTCTGGTTTGGTCATCAAATTTCATCCTCATTCTACTGGCATAGTTTTGGTGATTGGAGAGAGAGAGAGAGAGAGAGATTAGGTTAGGTTCGTTATGTGTCCTTGACGTTTGAGGTTATAGGCAGTTTGTGGGTTGAGGATAACAGGAGGAGGACAACAGATAACAAAACATTCCCACGATAACGAGGTCAAATTCCTTACCAGAGCAGTGTCCTCTTCCACCTCCTCTTCCCTCTCCTCCTCCTTTCTTTCTCTTTTTCCTTCCCCTACTCTTTCCTCTCTTTCCTCTTGTTTCTCCACTTTTCTATTTCTTCCAGTCTGTTCCATCTATCTTTCTCTCCACACACACACACACACACACAGTACAGATTTAGATTCGCTCCCCACACAAGCGCCAGAGGTTAAAAGAAAAACAAAATAAAAGAAGGTCACAGTTGAGGTAGTAAATTAGTTATGACAGGTCACAGATGTCGCTCTGCTCCGTGTTTACATCACCCCGCGCCTCCCACCTCCCTAATGACGCCAATTTCAAGGTACGGAGAGAAATTGACGTCTGGCGAAATGACCAAACAGCTGCCTCCCTCCCCCTCTACCCCAGTCCCCACCCCAGTCCCCACCCCAGACCCCACCCCAGACCCCACCCAGTCCCACCCCAGTCCCACCCCAGACCCACCCAGACCCCACCCAGTCCCCACCCAGCCCCCCACCCCAGACCCCACCCCAGACCCCACCCCAGACCCCACCCCAGACCCCCACCCCAGACCCCACCCCAGACCCCCACACAGACACCACCCCAGACACCACCCCCACCCCAGTCCCCACCCCAGTCCCCACCCCAGACCCCACCCCAGACCCCACCCTACACACCTCACCCACACGCTAGAGGGCCGACCGCGGGCTTCTTCTCTTATATTTCCAACAGTTTCAGAAGCTTCAGATGAAACTTTTTTAAGGCGTTTCAGTAGTGGTTTGTTCTTATGTTATGTACAGGTATATATTTATTTTGTATTTCTTGGGAGTTTTTTGTTTTTTAACGTTGGTAGTTGATGGATAAACATTTACAGTCTTGTTTATGTAGTGTGTGTGTGGATTGTCAGAGTGACTGATTAATTAACTGATTGATTGGGTGACCGATTAACTGAGTGATTAAGGGATTGAATGATTGATAAAGTGATTAAGTGATTTAATAATCGAATAAGTGCTTGATTGGGTGATTGATTGTCTAAGACCCGGGTGATGTGAGTGATATATTTATTTGATCGACTTCTTGAGTGATTGATTGAGTGGCTACTTAAAAGAATGAGTGATTCGTGTGTTTAATAATCAGGTGAAATAAACTGGGGTGTCTAATATCCAGGTGATTCAAATACATCTCTAGAGTCGACACAGGTGCTAATGCTCTCACACTCCCGCGTCAACACAGTCTCCAACTTGGTGACGACGCGACGCCTCCACACTAACTACCAGAGAGGCTGCTGCTGCTGGGCTGTATAATTGGAAGAGACCTCAACAAGGAGCAAAGTTTCGAAAGACACATCAAGAACTTGGGTCAAGTGGCCTCTCTTACATTCACAGCTTTACGACGCCTAGCCTGTCTCTTGGAGGACCAGAATACGTGGGGTTCACTCTGTCTCATTCACTGTCTGTCTAACCTGCCTGTGTGTCCCCTGGTGTGTTTCTTTCGTCATCAGGCATCAAGGGTCAACCACGAAGTCTCTGTAAGCTGATAAGTCCGGGAGTGATGTACGACCTGGTGTATGGGTTCAATAATGTCCAAAAAAAGACGTCTTAAAGACCTTTTTCCTTTAGGTGGAAAACAGATCTTACCAAAGCAATCAGCAGCGCTTGACGTTCCGTTCCTTCCCAGAATAACGCTCTTGAAGAAGCTACGCCAGACGAACCTTGAAACTTCTACAGGTTGCGGCCATCTTGACAGTGTTACACAAGGCTCATATTTAAGGTCTTTCCTCACCCTCTTGGTCGAGCGCCAGAAAATTTTGAAATACTGAGTGGCGTTCTTATATAAAGTCTTGGGAAATGTCCGGGAAAATAGAACGTGGTCCTCTCTTAAGGCGTTTGTTAACTACGCTCTCAGAGTAAGTTCCGATTGAAGTCTTTTGCTGAAATGCCAGTCAGCACTTGATAACATATTTTTTATTCTAGAGAAGAGTTGGGCTCTGGGACGTGTTTACTCGCACAACACTGGTGCAAACAGTGAACGCAGCACGGGAAACTAACAAACTCAGAGATTAGGGCAACGACAAATAAGATTACTAATGACATGTATGTTTGTCCTTCAAATTAAATCCCATTTTAAAGTTACATGATACAGAGAAAATAATTTTACTTTCATTTAAAATTGACGAGAGGAAGTGTTTTTTTTTCTTTCTAGATATCTGGTCGTGGCCGCGTCAACTTGGGGGGGGGGGGGCACATGAGTGAGGAAGAGAACTAGAGAGCTGTGGAAGGGAAGACAGTATGACGTACGTGAGATGAAAAGAGGAAGGAACACATTAAAAGCGATAGAGATGACGTGTTTGAGAGTAATAGGGTAGAGAAGAAGAAAAAAGTAAGAGATGGAAGTGAAAGAAGTGTTAGACAGAGGGAGGAACTGGGTTTGTTTCGGTGATGAGGACATGTTAAGGGAATGGGGAATGGAGGATTAGTTAAAAGAAGTGGATAATACCGAAGAGGGAAAGGAAAATAAATAATGAGAGAGTTGGGAGGACGGGGTGAGGGAAGGACGGGGTGAGGGAAGGACGGGGTGAGGGAAGGACGGGGTGAGGGAAGCAGAAGTATGATGGGAACACGGGATACGTGACTGAGTGAAGGCAGAGAATATAAGTGTGTGTGTGTTTGATCGTAATTCTAGCCATTGTGCATCATTCCAGGAAAAGAATTCGGAGAGTAAAAACACACAGCGCAGGTGGGTGTCGGTGAGGGTGAAACACGGCCGTACAAGGCGCCGGGTCTGGATACTTGACACTGTCCTGTATTATACACTAGTGAGGGCTGTCTGTCGCCCACCACACCCTAGTGTACCACACCTTAGTGTACCACACCTAAGTGTACCCCACCTTAGTGTACCGCACCCTCGTATACCACACCCTAGTGTATTACACCCTGGTGTACCGCATGCTATTGCACTATAATTTGTTGCACCACACCCTACAGTACTACACCCTACAGTACTACACCCTACAGTACTACACCCTAGTGTACTACACCCTAGTGTACCACACCCTAGTGTACCACACCCTCCACACTCTAGTGTACCACGTAATAACTTCCTGTAACAAGCTAAATTTTTTACGTTTTTTCCAGAGCCACTGAGCCGATGGAGGACATAGAAGCCTTACGAGGGAAACTAATTACTGGTTGGATTTAGTCAAGGTCCGTGTCTGCCTTTCCTACCCCTATCGATGGAGTGTTTCTGTGAGGTGAGTGTCTAAGTTATTAAGTGTCACCTAAGTTAATAATCCCACCATAAGTCACCCTTGTTCTGTGTATGTCTGTTGATGATGAGCTTAGAACATTCATTTAAACGTTTAGGAGGTTGGTAACTTATTAGTATTAGACGATCATATCTCATACAGCACGAATAAAGTTGTTTACATTCTGGTTAATAACACCTCTACTGGATCAATATCTAATGCAGGGAATTAATTTGGTTACACCGTTACTGAGAATGAAAAGTTTGGGATCAATTATGAAATATTATATCGAAGTAGGACTCGTATCAATCTTTGGTAATATACTGTACTGCATATAACATAAAATATCTTTATCAATGTTTCATATGCCTCTTAGGTCAAAGGCCATTAGTCAAATAGATGTGTTAATATGGGGGAAAAGTGAGAGTGAACACAACTCATGAGAGACTGAAGGTCGTTACCCCTTATACACACTCACAGTGCTGCGCGGCGACCCACTGAAATGAGTTTGTAGTAATTGTTGACGTTTTAATGCTACGAAGATCAGCTCACGCGTCATCGGGGGATAGACGCTGATTTTAAGATGACATTTGCAGAAGCTTAACGGGAACTGTAAAACCTTCCGACTAATGTGACGGTAAAATTTAATTTTGTATTTATTTAAAATCGACTTCGTGTGGCCAGGCTTCATGTAAATGTTTAAATAATTAGTGAATCTTGTTGTAGAGTGCAGCCAACAGTAAATAATCCATACTATGAACCTTTTGTCTGAAATAACTGTCCCTCAGACAGTCAACCCACGAGGTGTCTCCCTCCCCCAGTCAACTCATTACCACTTACTGTGTTCAGACACTTGCCCTGGTTCACACTAACATACTGTACTGTACGTTATTCTAGCTGGTAGTCTTGGTCACGGGGAATGGTGATAATTCCCGTATTCACCACCACATGGAGGGTGTACCAAAACCCTTTCTTTCTGTTGCCACGACTGGTGAAACGCGGCGGCAGGGGGATGTTTCTTGTAACTCGTGTGGAACATAAGTCACCTTAATGAGAACAAGGGAGGTAGTGCCATGTACACTCCTATTTAATAATGACCGCCAGATTGCTTTATGGCACATCGTTCTTTTCCTCGGTACACGAGGAAAGGTACAGCGTGTCTTAAGGATTGTGGGTTTGATCCCACTTTACTTGGCTGTAAAATGGGTATCCAACTTTACAGTTGGTGTAAAAAATGCGGTTGATTAGTCTGCCGGCCACGCTGCCTCTTTGCATACTAAAGCTCTAGTATACAGTGTGCTGTATCTGCACTGTTCCTAAGGAGCAGTCATACCTACGGGTTGCACTTTTGCTCTGAACTAGAGAGCGTCGCTGACATCGCACTCTATAACTGGGTCGAACCAGTGACTGTTGGGTCGGGAAGCGAATGCTTTATTCACTCAGGACACCACAACTCTATAGACCAGTTTGGACGTGCAGTGTTTGAATATATTGAAGGTCATTAATTAATGAAAGCGACGTGGGATCAGCGCTAATTAACGTGCTTTGTTGCAAACTTTTCATGATGGTGAACTTTGACCTTGGTATGACCTACAAAATTTTGGTATGACCTACAAAATTAGCTTACTAACTACTGTACTTATTATTTTAAAATTATTCAACTTTTAAATGTGTGCCTTGTCGTTCACCAACCAATACAGGTATAAAACTTATTTACCAGATCTCTTGAATTGACACAAATCCCTGTTAACACACAGGGTCGTTAACAGTGTGACCAGCTCACTCTTGTTCAGGAGAATTTTTCCGTACAAGTACATGGCTGCTAAGGGCCAATCAAAACTTGAGTATTTTCCAGTTAATAAATCGATAAGTTTTAGTTGCGAAAACCAGCTCCCAGGCGAGTTGTGTGACGACCTCTTGTGTATCGCTGTCTATGAAGCTAAGTTGTTGTGTCTTATGGTCAGGGGTGTATTGGCCTGTCTCTGTTGGTGTGTGTTGCAGATAATGTCTCAGTTCACTAAACAAGGCAGAAGCAGTACAGTATATACCCCATTGAAAAGATCCTATATCGGGGAATGTGTTTGAGAGAAATAAAAGCTACGTGCTGCTTGGGTGATGCACACTGGGCACGGGTGCTGTCAGGAGGATGGGTGTGGGGCACGGCACTAGTACATCACCCACCTTCTCTCGCAGCTCCTGTCTGGTGGTGCCACCAGCTGTTAATGCTATTGCTGGTCAAGTTAAGTGCTGTCGACCAGTGTTGCTAGTGACACAAGCAAGCTGTCGACCAGTGTTGCTGACAATGCAGTGTCGACCCAGAATGTAATGTAATATTTCATAGATAAAGACACACTAATCCCTGTGTATTTTTTTTTCTTTTACAATACAACAAACTTTTTGTGTTGTGATCTTACAACACGACATTTTTTTGTCTCAGGCCTTCACCTCTTGTGAGGTAAACCTGCGATATATTAATATTTTGATCATTAATGAGGTGCCAGCGAGTGTTGATATATTTGTGAGTGGTGGTGAGGTCACCTTCCGTTTCTTATATTATTCACCGTCCACCGGCCAGGGCGTCTGACGGCCACGGTCTCTTGATTTAGTTTGGCTGTATTTTGTTTCTCTTAATACTGTAAAATAACACCGCTGATCGAGAATAAATCAAAGCTGAGTTAGTGAGGATTACTTATTTGGTGCTAGCAGAGGTGGAGCCTCCGGTGCTGGACGATGTTAACAGTGGTAATTAACCCAGCTCGAAATAAATGCTTTAGAACATCGCCACCAGACATGTACAGTATATGGCCCTGAATTTCCTGCAGTAGGTCAGAGGTAAAGGTGACGGCCGGAGGTGTGGAGAGAGTGACCTTGAATTATGGACGATGAAGAGACGCCAGGAGAAATTACCTCACCCTGAGTCAAGACAATATTAACCCACACCACACGCTAGTACTTCATGTGCGTTATTCTGTGAGGTAACAAGTCCACGAGTCCCATTATTATACCCCACCTCACATACGGTATCGAGTAAGGGGGTCTATATCAGTCGTTTAATATACCGGCCGCTACAAAATAAGTGGATATAATGCTGTCACTTTTATACACGGTCCCTCGTTGTTAGAATGGGGCTGACGTGTTGTTTACTGGTAGGTCTGATCTTCGACAGATATTTTTCCTGTAATTTTTTTACAACAATTATTTAACGTAAGAATAAGAACCTGATTCCGTCCAGATTTCCGAAAGAATGACAGAGTTTTCTGTATCAGTGGAGGAAATGGATCATCTCACACCACAAGTCATACCACAATTGGTACGACAAAATTTACACGTACAGTACTGGCATTTCTTGGGTTAGGGCAGGTGAGTTTGCCCCGTGCACATTTAGTGGTAGATGTCAGGTAAAGAACCACTAACTAATGGTTAAAACTTGAAGTTATACAAGTGAGTCAGCTGCGAGGAGAACTCTAGAATAAACAAACTTGGATATGTACAGGCTGACGAAGGTCCCTGTACATAAAGTCAATATTAAAAATGACGACAAGGACAGACAGATGACTACCAAGAGTCCCTAGTCATAACTACACGTGGAAGTTGAAATTATTCTCCTCACCCTGCGAGACATGGGTCATATAAAGGAGGCACCTCAGGGCACTTGAGAACTTTCACCAGCATAGTCTACGTTTCGTTCCATCCTTCAAGTTCGCTGGAAAGACAAGAGGACAGATGCCAGTATTCTCACTGACACCAACTGTAGGAGCATCGAGGCTGACATTATCCATGAACAACTAAGTTGGACTGTCCAATGGTGGCCATGTTACTTGCATGGACGACAGTAGACTGCTGAAACAGATGCTCTACAGTCGTCTAAGTAATAACAAATGCATTGTTGACAAGAAACGGAAAAGGTATAAGGATAATCTTAAGACAAACCTGAAAAAGTGCCAAATCGACCCCCTCACCTGTGAGACGATCACTCCACACCTTAACGCTTGGAGGAGCACCACATGAGAAGGTGTTAATACTTTTGAGTTAGCCTGACTGCATACCGAGACAGACAAGCGCAAACGTCGGAAAGATTCCGCCGCCCCTCCCACACTAGATGTAGCCCTCCACACGTGCAACATCTGTGGACGGACCAGCCAGTCCCGTGTCGACCTCTCGAGCAACCTCAGAGCTCATCAACGAAGGTGAGGTCACTAAAAATGCATATCAGTGTGACATAGCTGAAAGACCTTCATACTAGATTCCGAGTGACAGCAAAGTGATACAAATATGATACTGTATATAATAACTAGGTGGGAAGAAGGTCATACTACAGGGCATTTCAACATAGTGACAGTGCCAAAAGGTATGATTGACTGGGAGTGAATACACTGGTTGATTACAAGTTATGGATAATTTTTACACTGGTTGGGACTGGGCTGTTCTTATAGCGATCAGTACGTGCTCGTAAAGGCTGGATGCGGTTGTGGTATCGAACAGCAATTCTTGGACGAGGGATCTTGGGTGGTAGTAGTGTGTGTGTGTGTGTCTGTCTTTTTGGAAGGATTGGCTCAAGAAAAAAATAATGATCGAAATGACTCAAGAAATAAAAAAATGAGGCGAATTAGTTAGAATATCGGATGAATGCTAATTAGTACAAACCTAATGCAGTGAAGGGATAATAATTTTCCCTTTCCGTGTGTGTGTGTGTGTGTGAGTGTGTGCGCGCGCGCGCACGAGAGACAGACAGACTAGATTGCACCAGGTTTCCCCACATGTGTTTTGTCATCATTTTTACGGAACAATTAATTAGATCTCACAAAGAGAGCGCCCCCTCCATCCCCTCACCCCTCCTCACTCCACTCCCCTCCACTCTACTGTCACCACCTGAGACACGGGCATCTAGGAGGAGGGAGGGAGGGGGTGGGTTGGTGCCTATCCTCCTCCTCCTCCCTCTCCCCCCTCCCCCCACAACCACTTCCCCCTCCCCCCACAAAAAAGATGTAACAACAACAACAACCACA